AGAAAGAGAGAAAGAGTATAGATTTGTGGAGAGTGCTGAAATTCGTTAGGCCCTTCAGATCTAAGGAAAGATAAACCTTAGGGAAAAGCTAGATATGCACATATTTCTTTAATTGATTTCAAATGCATTTTCTTTGAAGTGTCTCTATACTAAATAAAGATTCTGTTTCAAGAAATTTGTTTGGTCATAGTGTCAATCACTGTCATTGATTTTGGAGAGAGAAGAGTAAGTCAAACCTTCAAAATTAGTCATAGTATTCTGGGACTATAGCTGAGAACATTGTTTGAAGCTGAGAGTGTCCCACATTTTTCCAGGAGTTATTTGATCTGTACTGTATGTGTACATTGATATTTTGACCTTGGCCAATGCTGAGGTTGGCTTCAGCCATGCCTGTCTGAATAAGATGTGCTTTCCCCATCTGCACTACACCAAAGCCTCTACATTATACCAAAGCAACCTCTATTGCATGTTTTTTTCTGAAGCTGTTAAGGATCCCCCCTCTGACAGTACAGCTCTTTTCCCAGCTATATCCTTGTTTGTAGGAAACAAAGTGGATAAAAAAGAGGCAGAAAAGAGGAACAATGGACTGTGGTTGATGGGAAGCATCTTCACCACTTCCCTCCAGCAAGAACAGCACAGAAGAATCACTACAGAGCCAGTGTCTGCACATCTCTCTCACTTCTGCCCCACTCCTCAAGGGGAGCTTTCGACTTCTTCCTCAAAAGGTACCTGACCAGTGATGGTTCAGTCATTCAACCAAAATTTTTGCACAGTTTCTTAGCTAAAGTTAGAAAAAAAACCATGGTTCTTGTTCACTTACACCAATGCTTCCACGGCAAACAAAAGCATATCCAGATAAAAGAAGTAATAAATATGATAGTGTGTTGGCATTATTTTTTTGTCAGAATCATCAAAAAGTATTGTTGGAAAATAATTATTCTCTTCAATTTGATAGTTAAAATTAGATAAATATAACTTCACAAATGAGAGATTTAAAATTCACAATAGCTAAAAAAACCATAAATTATGTGTAATAGATTGCAGCTCACTAAACCAGTGCAAATGGTCATTTACTAAAGGAAAATATTACCATGTGTTAAAGGAAAAGCAAAGCCTTACTTAATATTCATTCAATCATTAAATAAATAGGTTACCTATATTAATAACATAAGAACCTCCAAAACAGCTAGAATGAAAAACGGGAGTCATAGAATAACAACACTCTGCCTAGATATGATTCTCATGGGGAAAACAAAAACAAAAACAAAAACAAAACAAAAAAACCCTGAAAATAAGAATAATATAGTGCTATTGCTCTGTTCTCTTTCAATGACACCCCAAATATGTCTTTTTCCCTATTTGCCTGTAGCTTATGTAACAAGAAGCAGTGTATTAGGCTAGACGTAAGTATAAATGCAGGATCATGCAGCCTATCTGTGCTTTCTGTTTCTTTCTCCAAAGCTTGTTTCTAAAAAACAGAATGAGGGGGGAAAAAATCTTAACTGCCTTGTTATTTATTACACCTAACAAAAGCAGTGCCACTAAATGTATGAGCTTTTCGTGAGGAAATAGTGTCAGCGCCTTGGTGTGCTAATCCATCTAGGAGAGGAAGGGCTGGCTGCACTGATGCCAGCAGAGGGAGCATAGAGCATTGCTTTTTGTGGGCTTCAAAGCTGCCAGGGGAGTTTTGTCCTTTCCTGTTCCAATTTTTCCCCCCAATTAAATGTTTTTAAAACTTAATGATCGCACATTCCGTGCTAAAAGCGCCTCTTTGCGCATCACAACTACAGCTGTGATGTAACACGGGTGAGAGACTGCTGTAGGATAATTAACTTCTGGAACACCAAGGAATACTCAGGTAGGGAATTTCACCAAGATGAGACATGAGATATCCCAGGGCATGGTGGCTCAATTGTGCGATAAAAATGTATCTTCAAATCACCCGCACTTGGCGGCACAACGCGTGCTCAGGCACAGCAGGCTCTGCGCAGAGGGGCGATGCTGCTCCGCAAAGGGCGTGTTTGTGCACATCTGCATGTCCAACACACCTGTGCCCAGCCGGCTGGGGAAGGGGCGTGACCTGCGCGTTGGGAGAAATAATTACCTAATGAGCCTTATCTTCCTGCCGTTACTCAGGTGAAACTTCCATGTGTCTGGAGCCAAGCGACTGCAGAACTTCTGAGGATGAAACACGTGATGTCTGCGCTACTTGCACAGCTGACAGCAGCAGGGCCTGCTCACCCCCTGACTCCAGACAGAGGGAAAATGTGTGCTAAGCCCTTCTATGCATTAGAAGATCCATACAAAAGACTCCTAAAAACTTAAAGACAGAGACAATTAAGGCCTTTTCTTTTTCTCATGATTCTCATTATTGGATTCTCACAAATTTGGATCACACTTTACCATGCCTTCAAAGGAATTCTTGTTAAAGCAAACAGCAGAACTCAGCATCTTGCAGGTTTTATTCCCAAGAGAAAAAGCTCATTGCAAAATGGAGCAGACAGACACATCCCTTGGCTCCCTGACTCTCCCTAAAACAGTCTGGAACCATAAAGCTTCCAGAATCAGATTTTCATAAGTTGAAGCCTAAGGTTGTAGAGGATCTTCTCATGCACAGTTACAATTGCATATGTATAGCTGGCTTTTGTACATACAAATGGAGACTGTATGCCAGTGCATGTCTCAAAGGAATCTAGACAGATATACAAAAACACACGAGTCTCAGTTTTTATTTTATGAGGTGAATTAAGTGAAGGGGGAAGAAAAAGGTGATGGGAAAAAGATGAAATTCAGACCTCATCAAAGTCAAGGGTACTTTTCCTATAGACTTCAAAAGATTCAAAACTTCATCTGTAACATTTATGTCCTACTGAACCCAGAGATATGCTCAGAAACAGGTTTCAACCTCAATTCATTTGGCAGCCCAGCTTCTTCCTGGTTGAATGGTGGAAGCACTGACAAGAATCTCAAAAGAAAATTTTACTGTGATCTAAATCAGTAGTTCCCAATTTTTTCTGGCTGTCTGGGCAAATACCTCCTTTTAAGAGTCAGTGAGAGCCTTGTACCCCAGCATTTACAACTCATAGCCCAGCTAGAGTGTTCATGGAGCTCTCCATTGGGCTAGCATGCAAACTAGTACCATGTTTCCCAGAGACCATAAATTTGTTGTGTAATTCATTTCCAAGCTGCTCCTGCAGCTACTCCTGGGAGTAGGTTACAAGCTGGACAAATAGAATTTGCAGGATATATTTAGCTTATACCTTGCAGAATTGGTGTTTTTCCTTCAAGTCCACATTGTTTACACTGACCTGACTAAGGACCATTACCTGTCTTTCAACAGTAGCTTGCATCTTTCTTTTGAGAAGAAGGATGGGGGGAAATGTGGGAAAAGTTCCCCTCCTGTTCTCAATTTTAACCTTGGTCTGTGCAAGTCCAACATTGCTGACACTGCTGGACTTACAAGCTGAGCAAATCCTGGCCACACTAAGCTTGATGGCAAAACTCCCTTTGTCTTTATTAGACTCTAGATTTCACAACAAGTGTTAAAGGAATGTGACTGCAAGACTGAGGCAAAGGCAAAGTAAAAGCAAGGACGGTTTCCTCACTGCAAGCCAGAGAAAATGCATGGGTCTCCAGGGCAATAAGCCAAGCAATAAAAATATAAGTAAACATATGAATAAATTAAATCGATGCCCTCTTCAGATAGTCACTAGTTCTTGGCACTTTTTTCTCCCATCTAGTCATCTGCAGACACCTGCCCAGCTGCACTTTCTTCACACTTGACTTCCCAGTTAAGCTTCTCTGTCAGCCTTGCTGTCACTCCTCTTTCAGCACATGATGTCAGCTTTCCTGCCATCTTGATGTCACTTTTTCATATGGCAGGATTCACAGCTTTAGCTCACAACCTGTTTTTACATAGGAAGAAAAATATTTGTCATACTTGCTTCTCATCCCCCATTAAAAATGAGCTTAGCTAAGCAGGAAAAGCCTGTCAGGAAACTACTGACATTAAGTTTCTCTTCCAACAGTGTTCCAAAACACTGGATTTTTTCTTCTGCCTATCTAAAGAGATGAGAAGAATTGAGAAGTGAAGGATTCAGCTCTGCTAGGGAATAAGCATACATATTCTGTAAAGACTTTTCAAGTCCTCTTCTATATGTAGGTCAATGAAGAGCAGAGGTTTTGGTCTTAATTATTGTTTGGTTGCAGGATTCTTTTTCTCCACTGATCTAATGGTGGCTAAGCAACCATTTTGCACTGCTTGGCAAAGCCAATAGCAAACTTGTTAACTGGGCATTTTTATACTGCTCTCCAGCACAAGAGAAACACCTCAAAGCTCCCAAGGTGACAGGTTCTAAAATGCCATTCATTTTAACAGCAAAACATTGTTATATTCACTGTGTTAGCAGACTTTAGGTGAGTTGGTATAACGTGACATATGAGAATGTGTAATTCTTGGTCACAATGAAGGAAAGTAAGAAAACAGGTTTTTACAGCAAAAGCTTTCCATCATGGGTTCCCTTTGCAGGACATGGATAACCTCTGACTTCCATATGGTACTGAATTCTCAGAGGATGAAAGTGAGCAATGGTAAATCACCCCAGATGAGTATCTCCTCCTCAACATAATAAGCAGTTTATGTATCCGGCTGCAAAAGTGTTCTAGGAAGTTGCCAAACAGGAAGGAGATCCTTGCCTGAAGTAATTTGCAAGCTAAAGGCTGGATCCTACCAAAGCATCTGGTCTGAGGTTTTGAACAGCTTTTACTCCCATAAGATTTCAAAAGATATTTAGTAGGGCCATGTCTTACAGCACGCTGTAAGGTTTGGCTAAAATTGCCTGTAAACTAGTCTCAAGCACTTAGCAAGTCTATGTTACCTTAGCCTTTAAACTACGGCAGAAATGTGCTGTGGATAGATGAACTGAAACTACACCCACTGTGTAGGAGATGAAATTATATTAACAGACATACAAACATATCATATTGCAAGTGAAAGACAGACAGTAACAATACTAAAAAAAAATTAAAAATATGCAAATCTTCCTTCCCATGGCCTGACCTACCAGTGCAATGCTGTTAAATGGATGGGTTAATGTCATGGAGTGAACTGTGCAGATCACAGACATTAAACATGCTGCCACACACCTCCTTTCTCATGACCAATTTTTTTTCAATTAAATACCCTCTGGCCAACCTTAAGCCAACGGTGATATTCTTTATATCTTGTTAACAGGTGTCATGATAAAGAAATAAGAACATATATCCTGTGTTATGTGAGTAAGGAGAATTTAATGCTGCTGCACATAAGCTAGCTCCTTTTTTGCCTTGATTTTCACAGACCTCAAATCTCCACAAAAGTTTGATTTTCTCCTTACTTCATCCTCTGGCTTTTCTGTCAGTTTTTTTTTTTTTTTTTTTTTAAGAGTTACATTTCTGGCTAGAATACAATGTTTTAGTCACAGTGTACTGACATTGCAGAACATTGCAAACAATATTTGACCCCTGCTTTTTATTTCCTAAGTGTATCATCAGTTCCAAGCACTGAATATATTGGCAGAATTGGGCATTGCTAAACGACAACATGAAGTCTAACAGATCTGGATTTTAGTTAGTTAGCATGCACTAACTACCTCATGTGATGGCAGGAAATGACAGCTCCAAGGCTGAAATCAGATCCAGGCAGGTGGGCTCCTAAAGGGGGTTGGTGCAAACACAAATGTTGGCCCGTGTGGATCCAGCTGCAGCAACAGAGCCTGAGGTTCCAGAGGCCTTAGGAGAAAAACATGTAGTTGTATTTAAAATGTAATGCATCCAACACATTATTATGCACACACATCATATATGATGTATCACACGTGGTGATGCATCAATACTGCCTGCACCAGATAGTTAAGGGCACTAAGTAAGGTACAGAGGTACAGATCTGCCTATGATGAAACACAACAGTAATTCCCAGTTTCAGGGGTGATGGGCTAAGTCCGTGACATCTTTTTGGACTCCAGGATACAGAGTTGCTGTGAAAGAGAAGAATCAGAGGGAACAGCTTTCCCTTGCAAACCACACAGATCACTTCCCTTGCTGTATGGGAGACAATGGATGAGTTACCCCAGTCACTGGAGCAGATGCAGAAACCAGTGAAAATGAGGAGATAAGAAGGCAATGCCCAAGGATTGGCTAATAGAGAAAGAAGTGTTGTAATTGCAAAATCACTCAAACTGCTGTGCCAAACTTTGACATGCTTGATTTCCTGTGCTTAAATAATTTTTAGGCTTAAAAAAAAAAAAGGGGGGGGGGGGGGGGGGGGAGAGAGGGAGGGGAAGTGCAGAAAAATAACCAGCTGTTCCTTGTATAGTGCAGGAAACATGTATGATTTATTGCTTTAAGGTTATTTTTGAAGGGGCTGCCTGTGGCAGCCGGAGTGCCGGAGAAGTCACTGAGGCCTGTCCACTTGAAGGGCTCAAACTGTTTCCTGAACAGCCCTTCTTCACTCGTCACCTCCGACAGCTCCCATTGACAACGTGTGACTGGGGCCCCGGAGTGTTTTAAAGCCGCGGGGGGCCGGGGCGGACAATGGGGCTGTCAATTACCTTTTCCCCCGTCGTGAAAGGGGCCGGTGAACAATGTGCGGGCGGCGGGGGGGCTGTGCCGCCGCTCCGAGCCCGCCGCCCCCGCCGCCGCGAGGTGCCGGAGGTGCCGCCCGGCCAGCCCCGGGCTGCCCCCGGCGCTGGAGGGCAGCTCCTGCCCCGCATCCCCATCCCCATCC